ACATCTAATTTATCAGATTCTTCATTTGGTCATTGTATTTCATGAAGTCATATTTGAGAATCTTTAGTTCTAAAATTTATTTTTAGCTGGCAAGCAGGGCATAGGACTCCACAAAAAAACTCCATAATATATAGTAGTATTGTTTACTTTTTCGCCATTGTTTTAGCTAATCATTTGAAGAATTTTGCTTATGGCAACTGCATTTTTTTAATGCAATTAATAGCTAGTGAAATTTTATTTTTAAAATGTGCTTAGATTCCCGTCTCCCTCCCTTTTTTGCTCTATGAGGTATATAGATTCCTATGTCTTACTTGGTGTAAGACAGTATTTTCATAATGAGAGATTTTATTTTTAAGCTGTGTTAGTCTAGATAACAGGTAAAACCTTACAAAAACTGAGAGAAAAGTTCTAAATTCCAATCTCCATAATTGCCTTAAATTGATTTTGAAGAATAATTTTAATATTTCATTTAATGTGATTTTCTTGGTTCTCTCATTTTGTAATCTTTGTAATACTTTATAGACTTGAAATGAAATGATTTGTGATCTAGTTTTACAGTCATTTTAACCAGTATTTATTTAGTGTTTATGCAAAACCTATTATTTACCATAATGTATTCAATAAACATTCAGAGGGACATTGATGTTATTTGCACCTGAACACAAAACTGAGCTCTGTTGCTTACTAGTATTGTCACCCTGACAAATAGCTTAAATCTGTCTGAGCCTTAGTTTCTTCAGTTAGTGTTGAAATGCCTATTACTTAGGGTACCTGTGAGGATTAAATGAGATTATGCATTTATAGTTCTTAGCACAAACAATTTTCCTTCTGTAGGTGGTAGTGAGGATGCAGGAAGTAATATGAAATTATATTTAATTCATTGAGTTTACAGTCTAATGGAGAGACTTGTAAACAGTTGCAAGGTGAATTAATTGCTGTAATAGATGTGTATACATGATGTGCTATGTATGTATGTATGTATGTATGAATTCAGGTAAAGAAAGTGCAGGTAAATAATAGGTTCCTGCCCTGGCCGAGTGGCTCAGTTGGTTAGAGCATCATCCAGTACACCAGGATCACAGGTTCGATTCCCTGTCAGGCACAGCCCAGGTTGTATGTCCATTCCGTCCCCAGTTAAGGTGCGTACAGTGGCAACCGATCGATATTTCTCTCTCACATCAATGTTTCTCTCTCTCTGTCTCTCCTTCTCCCTTCCTTTCTCCTTAGAATCAATGAAAAATATATCCTTGGGTGAGGATTTAAAAAATAATAATAGGTTCCTTTTCTGATATTAATGAAACTCCATGAGAGGGTTATGTAATAGTATTTTGAAGACTCGAATGAAATGACTAAGGAAAGGGTTTCACCCATATATCATCTATCTAATATGATATGGAAATGTAATTTGCTGTAAGATAAAAATGACTTTTAAATGTAGTCAGTAGCTCAAGTTCTTTTCAATTCAGTTGCTCTATGATACCAACCATTATAAACCCGTCCCTACTTAATTTACAGGTTTGGTTTTAGTGTGGTTTTTAAAAAGCAAATCCTTCCCTCCCCCCCCACTACTACTACTACAGCAATTCACAGAATTATATATCACCCCAACCCACTGAACCTGGATATAATGGGGTGGAACTTTGGTATCTGTACGATTTTAAAAGCTCCAGAGGTGATTCTTATGTGAATACCAGGGTTGATACTCACTTTCGCTATGTGTAAGTCAACTGCCCAATTGAAGATTTTGTTTCAATGTCCTAGAAGTGTGTGTGTGTTTTTTTTTTAAAAAAAGGGGAGTTTTTGCTTTGAGGTTTTCGGGAGATGGGGGTGGGGGATTGCCCTTCATTAGAAGTTCTTTGTAATTTACCACTAAGTAGAAAATTGCCTTTTGGCAGACCTGACTAAAGACTGATAAAGTTTATGATTAGTAAGCAGTTATCATGGTTCCATCTTAACTTTTCCTGAATAGATTCAAAAGGGAAACTTTATTTAGGAAACATGTTTATTTAGTACAGAAGAAAAGGTAAATATGAAAAATATTAACAGAGAACACATTTTATGTTCTCACCACACAATAAATTTTGCAAATAAAATTATTTTGACAGTTAATATGCTTGATATAAAAAATTGGAGAATTTAAAGAAAACAAGCATCTGTAACTTCATTACCCATTATCATTATTTATATAGGGGTGGGCAAAAGTAGCTTTGAATTCAACCACCTCAGGTGGATTTTCAGAGACTATAAGAATGTGTAAATAGTGAAGGCCAGCAATTTGAGCACTTACAAGATAAGTGCACTGTGCCATTCTTTTGAGTTAATAAAGCTATTGTAATAATCAGAACTTCATAACCTTCATGTCTTTTTCCATACAAACAACTGCAAACCTACTTTTGCCCATTCCTGTATATTGTTGTATTTCTTTTCCACCCAGGCAGTTTGTATATGATATTCTAAAATAACAGAAACACAATCATATACACACATAAAACATATGCTATACAGAGTTATCATCTCTTGCTTTTTGCCACATGGCACTTTTTATAAAAAGTGTTTAGGTACTCTCATTTTTCTTATAAGCATTGTGTTTTATTGTGTGCTTATTAGTATATTTTTGTCATAGAATTATAGAGTCTTAGTCTCCAAAGATGTTTAAGAATTTGTGCCAGGTCATCTATATTATTAACTATTTTTGTATTTTATTTTTCCAACATTTTATGATGAAAACTTCCAAACCTATAGAAAAGTTGAAATGAGCATGATGAATACCTTCTACCTAGATTCAACAATAGTTAACATTTTACCGTATTTGCTTTATCTCCTTGTGTGTGTGTGTGTGTGTGTGTGTGTGTGTGTTTGTACACTACCTTTTTTTTTTTTAATCCTCACTGAGGATATGTTTATTGATTTGAGAGAGAGAGAGACAGAGAGTGAAAAACATTGATGTGAGAGAAAAACATCGTTGGGTCCTGGATGCACCCAACCGAGGATTGAACCTATAACCTAAGTATGTGCCCTGACCAGGAACTGAACCCACAACCTTTTGGTGTATGGGATGATGCTCCAACCAACTGAGCCACCTGGCCAGGGCTACTGGTTGTTTTTGTTTGTTTGTGTGGTTTTTTTTTTAACTAAACCTTTGACAGCAAATTGCAGGCATCATAATATGTTACCTCTATTTTGGCATGTACCTCTTAAGAATGTGGACATTTTGCCCTGGCCAGTGTGGCTTAGTTCATTGGGTGTCATCCCATGTTCCAAAAGGTTGCTGGTTCGATTCCCAGTCAGGGCACACACCTGGGTTTTGGGCTTGATCCCTAGTAGGGGCATGCAGGATGCAGCCAATGAATGATTCTCATCATTGATGTTTCCATCTCTCTCTCCCTTCCTCTTTCTCTAAAATCAATTTTTAAAATCTTAAAAAAAAAAAAAAAAGCCGAAACTGGTTTGGCTCAGTGGATAGAGCGTTGGCCTGTGGACTGAAAGGTCCCGGGTTCGATTCCAGTCAAGGGCATGTACCTTGGTTGCGGGCACATCCCCAGTGGGAGATGTGCAGGAGGCAGCTGATCGATGTTTCTAACTCTCTATCTCTCTCCCTTTCTCTCTGCAAAAAATCAATAAAATATATTTAAAGAAATAAAAAATTTAAAAAAAAGAATGACATTTTTCTACATGAGCATAATCTTATACTAAGAAAATTAGTAATAAATTTTATATCAAGTCCCAGTTGTCCCTAGAATGACTATCATAGTTATTATTTTGAACCATAGTCTAATCAGGTTATTAAGTTATCATTCAAGCATGTTAACCCTTTGCGGTCCAATGTTGTTTTTGGAATTCTAACAGTCTGGTCCAAATTAATTGATGGGATTGAATGTTGAACTTTTTATTTAATGTTCTTAATTGCTCGACGTTGGACCTGCTCCTAGCGCCTGGTCTGTCGAGTCAGCCTCGAGGTTGGACCAAAAAGGGTTAAGCAAGTTTTTAATCAAGACCATACTTTTCCCCCCTTGACACTAAATAAGAATCTGAGCCAGCTTTTTATAGGATGTCCTACATTCAGAATAATGATTGTTTCCTTGTGTTGTCCTTTAACTTGATTCTCTATTCTCTGTTTCCTGTAAAATAGTAATTAGTTTTATTAGATTTATTTTAAATATTTTTGGCAAGAACACAGGACATGGCCCTGTATTCCCTAATTCATCACATCAGGTGGCATATAATGTAAGATTGTTTGGCATTTACTCTTTCAGCTTAACTTTAATTAGCTTGGATGTTAGAGCTTGTTCCGCCAACAAGAATCAGTAGCTGCTATTGTAGAAAGCTGTAGGTTTCCCCAAATTTAATAAAATATAAAAGGATAAGGAGTTAGCTATTCATACCTTATTGTAATGTTTAAAATGATTAGTCTATTTTTACAAATGTTTTATTAAATTCTTTAAAGACAAAAATGCAACTAAAATTTTTATCCATGAAAATTTTAATATTTCTCCAAAATTCGATTTCCTTTTATAAAGTTTAACATTTTTTATCTCCTCTCCTACCTGTCATTTAGCAGAAATCACAGAGAAACTAATGTTCTAATGCCTGCTTTTCTGTCCATTCCTATTGCTTTACACACTAATTTCCCTTTTATACTAAATCATTATAGCCAATTGTGTTTTTAAGTAAGTCACTTTCAGGAAATGCTTGTGTTGCTGTTGAATTCTAATAGTGCAGAGTAAACTTCAGGTTAAACTTCAAATTATAATGTGATATGAGACATAAATTAGTTAATAAATTAGTTAATGGTAATTTTCTAAAAATAACTTGAGATATTTCTATTATAAATTTTTATTATTTGACATAAGTAAGACTTGATACTTACTTAATGAAATGTTCTCGTGCTTACAATATATTACTCATGGCAGAAAAATGAGTGTTTTGCTGTGATGTGTTATGAAATACATGTGATATCCTAGTTTGTCTACTGACACTGGGGTCTTGAATCTTAAAAAAAGGCCTCCGATGATGCAGAGGAGAGTGGATCACAGGGAAAATTGGTGGAAGCTCTCAGGCAAATGAGAATTAATCATAGGGGAAACTACCGACAACTTCTGGAGGAGATGCTGTCTAGTTACAGGCTAGCTAAAGTAGAGGGAGAAGAAAGCCCTGCTGAACCAGCTGCTGCAGCTACTTCCTCGAACAGTGATGCTGGAAACCCAGTGACAATGCAGGAAAGCCATACTGAATCAGGAAGTGACCTTGCTGACTTAGACAGCTGTAATGAAGATGCAGGGACAAACTTGGGTGATGAAAAAGTATGACTTTAATTTGTGGGGATATTTTTGTGATCTTTGATTTGATGGTTTTTACTTAGGAAGTACAATGTGTGCATTTATATAACGATTTTGTTATTTGAATCTTGGTAAACTAGTTTTATTAATATTCATATAGCCTTGTTTTTTAAGAAGGCCTTTGCATACACCTTTATCAGATAGGTTAAAATTGGCTGTTTATATACTTTGAATTTAATAAAATTGTTATTTCATATTGTATGCCAGAAATGAGGCTACCAGTTATTAAAATCAATAAATTCATACTAGATGAATTTAAAGGTTACTGATTAGCAAGATTACATTATGTTGTGGAAAAACTTGTTAATGTAGAATTTTACTGCCTCACAGTATTTTACATATTAGTATACTCATAGTAATAAATTTGTAATAAATTTGTGTTTTCTTTAGTAATTTTAGTTCTTCAAAGAATGGCAGATGCTGGCCTGTAATTTTTTTTTTTTTCAAGGATGATAATGTGTGTTTTTTGACTTGTTTATATTTTTACATTTCTGTAGTTTTATTTTTAGATGTTCTAAGCTATTGAATATGTGGTTAATTTTCCTTTCTCTGTATTCTTTATGAAAAATAATGTTTGAAAAATCTGTGTATTATAAGTATAGAATTGATTTGTATATTCTGTATAGCCTAACTACACACATACATCAAAATATATGTCAATCAAGTGTTCAGAATGAAATTATAAGTGTTTAAGTCCAAATAAAGCATGTGATATGGAATAATCTATGCATGTTGTACTTTTTTTTAATTTTTATTTTACAACAGGTTTGGTATATTGGAAAAATACCCATTAGAAATTCATTTGTATTTATATAAAATTGAGAAAGCTATTGGTTTGGCTTTTTCATTAACTAAAAGGAAAATATTTTTGAGAAGTCTTGCCTAAAGAAAATCTAGTCTGTTTCTTATTCCCTTTTTATGGTACACAATATTAATCTTAGGGCAGAATGGATACACATAGACATGTCAGAAAATTGCCATGATGAAGATTGCAAGACTGTCGACTTTGCTATAAGTCTTCATCAGATATTATTAATTGCAAGAATTACAGGGTATTTTAAATAGTGGCAGATATATGAGTTTTGTTTTTGTTAAAATTGATTTTTAAATACAGATAACTATTAGTCACGTGGGAAACTATTTCTTAAAACAATTATTTTGTGAATGTAGATAATTAACTTCATGTTTATATTTATCATGTGTCTAAAGTTGGTTAAGGTATCATAAGTTGAAATTTTGGAATCATCGGAGGTAGCTGATGTTTTGATCTATTTTTCCAATTCTGAAATACATTTAAGTGGTTTAAAAGGAAGGCATTTGGTGGAGAGGGGAGGAAAAAAACAACCAGTTACCTACTATATTGGATAAATCTTTGTGTATACACACAATGTACAATACACACATCTCTCTATAAAAGTATCTTTTCAAACAAAAGAAGGTAATTTGTTCATCTAATTTTGTTTTCTTTTGAAATTCAATCCAACCTGGAAGTGGTATAGGTAAATAATAATAATATTCTTCCTTTTCTTTTCCTGTAGGGTGCTGGAGATCTAGAAGACCCATGGTAGCCTTATAAACTTCTAAAATGCTTTTGATTCTGAAAATTGGGGGAAAAACTTTTAATCACATTTTCTTCAATACAAGGGAAAAATATTCTTGTGGATTCCCAACGTTTTGTGATATGAGCAGAAAATCATTAGCATTTCCCATCATTTGTTCATATTTGTGTTTTCTGATAATTGCCACTTGTAGCATTGCCTGTACTACAGTATTTTTGCCAACCTCAGGCATACTAATTCCATCTGTATTGAACTATTGGTCCTAAAAACCAATGGAGTTATTTCACCACAAGTAATAATTGTGCCTGAGGTGCATGGGAATATAGTTAGCTGTACTTTGAAGATACATTATGTTTTTTTTTGTGTTTTTTTAAACAGGACACACAACATATAAGCATGTAAGAGTAAAGAATTGTATGAGATGTTCTTTTTTTCAATTCACCAAGTTGAAAGCCTTTTGCAGGTCTGGCTTAAAATTTCATTTGGGCAATCTACTATAGGGTATATATTTATTAATTGTTATTTAATTTTTTTCGAATTTTACCTGTATTACCAAACTGGGTTCTTCAATAATGTCCAAATTGTAATGTTGCCTGCTTCAAGATAAGTGTATTTGGCAATAATATTATAAACCCTTAAAAATTTTATGCATGTGTCTCCTATATCCTTCAACACACACCAGAAAATCTTTGAAACCAAATGGATTAATTTATGGCTATTTATAATTTGCTTAGACATCTCACTGCTGCAAATTTTTTAAATGATGAGATTTGCTTTTATAATGTAAATTGTGATTTTTGTTTTACATGTGGGTTTCTATAGTTTTAATTTTTCAGCTTTTAAGATACAAAAAGTTTTGTGTAATTTGGTATAAATTTTAATTGTTTACGTTATTTTAAAGGCTCAGAATATCACATTGAAATGACTATAAATACATTTAAAATTATCTATTTTAGAACTAAGGAAATATTAAAGAGATATTTTCATGGGTTCAGTAACCTTTCATTTTATAACATTGGGCACGGTACAGAGTGGCTGTCACATAAGGTACTTGAAGATTATTCATTTAATTCTATTTTTACAATAACCTTGAATTCTTGAATTCTTTTTGAGTTTTGCATGTATCCAATTAATGCTGAACATGAAGAGTGAAATATTTATCTAAAAGCTATTGGGGTAGGAGAAGCAATGAATGTATCCATTTGTACATGGTTTACATGTTGTGGATGCTTTGTAAACACTTTCCTGTATGTTTAAATTGTGTTTCAGCGGGATGTAATTGCCTTTGTGTGTAGTTAAAATGAGTCATCATCTGGTCCTGTGTGCAGTGGAATTCATGGTATTTTCTGTAACATTTCCCTGAAGCTGTTTCTGGAGAGCCACACATTTGAATACAGACAGCTTCCTTGATCATTCGATTTATTGTGCACCTGATTTTTGGCCTAAAAGAATTATTGCCACAATATATTTTATTTATTCTTTAGATTTTAGCCTTGTAAGTTAAAGTGCTTTACATGATGATGTTAAAAGCTATTTGTCCCTTTACTGGGTTTAAGGGTTGTTAAAAGATAGGGAATGAAGAATGCAAAAAATGGTTTATTGTTCAACTGTCCACTCTGATCCAATCCTGTACTGACAGTACCTTTCCAGTATGATATTGTGATGTTTCATACAATGCAGTGAACATAACCAACTTGTTACCTAAATAAAGAATTGATAAAAACAGTGTGACATATTACTACTTGGTATGATTTTTAAAAATAAAAGTCCAGTTTTGAATGTTATTTTAAACATTTTATACAGTTAGAATATTGTGAAATGTTTCATACAGAACTGTGTAGTTAAATTTTAATTCCAGGGAAGAATTAACTAAACTATATAAGACAATACTAATTAAACCCTTCTCCACTTCCAAACATTTTTTATTACCACTTTAACCTTTCTCTGGGAGTTTAATGGCCCTTGAAATACAAATAATGTGTGAGTTAGCAAAAAACTCGTGTTTACTAATATGAATTTCCTAGTCCCACTGTTCTCAAACATTTATATTCTTAAAGGTTGAGGCTCCCAAAGAACTTTTGCTTTTGAGGGTTATATCTATTGATATTTATTGTATTAAAAAAAACAACACCATTACCTGTTAACATAAAGAGCATTGTTTTATAAAAAGATTATTTTCCAAAACTAAAGAGCATTGGCTTTCGTTTTGTAAATCGGATGGGTTCTCATATCTGCTTTTGCATTCAATCTGTTGTAATGTGGTGCTTTGAAGTGTATGAAAAGATCTGGCTTCACACACATATGTATTTGGAAGAGTATTTCAATAGTTTCAGATAATTGTGGATACTCCTCTTTGTTACATTACCAAAACTTCAGAACTGGTAGTTTCTTGAAAGTTAGTTGCAATGTGAAATCTGAAACTATTCAACTTTGTACTGTTCTGTTACATTAAAATTTGTTTGACCTATCTTGCAGTTTGAACGGATCTACTTTTGCATGACTTAATAACTTACATTGGTCATTTGTAAAATACTGGTTTGTCGAATTATGCCTTTAAAAAAAAATCTTTATTGTTGGGGGTATTATAGACCCCCCTCTCCCCCCATTGCTTCCCTGCACCAGTTTCTGCCCAAACATAGGTAATACATATGTGCATGTAAATCTTTGGCTAATCTCTTCCTGTCCCCTCTCTGTCCTTCCCTCTGAGATCTGCCCTTCCCTCTGAGATTCATCAGACTGTTCCATGTTTCCATGCCTCTGATTCTATTTTATTCACCAGTTTATTTTGTTCATTAGATTTCTCATTTGTTTTGATTTGTAGATTCAATTGTTGATAGATATTTATTGCTATTTTAATGTTCGTATATTTTATCTTTTCTTCCTCCTCCTCTTCTTTCTCTTCAAGAATATCCTTCAACATTTCATGTAATACTGGTTTGGTAGTGATTAGCTCCTTTAGCTTTTTGTCTGTGAAGCTCTTTGTCTGACCTTCAGTTCTAAATGAGGGCTTTGCTGGGTACAGTAGACTTGGTTGTAGGTACTTGCTATTCATCACTGAATATTTCTTGTTATTCCCTTCTGGCCTGCAAAGTTTCTGTTGGGAAATCAGCTGACAGTTGTATGGGTGCTCCTTTGTAGGTAATTAACTGCTTTTCTCTTGCTGCTTTTAAGATTCTCTCTTTATCTTTAGCATTTGGATTTTAATTATGATGTGTCTTGATGTGGGCCTCTTTGGGTTCCTCTTGTTTGGGACTCTACTTCCTGTACTTATAAGTCTATTTCTTTCACCGGGTAGGGGAAGTTTTCTGTCATTATTTCTTCAAATAGGTTTTTAATATCTTGCTCTGTCTCTTCTCCTTCTGGTACTCCCATAATGTGAATATTGGTACGTTTGAAGTTGTCCAAGAGGCTCCTTACACCATCTTCATTTTTTAAATGTTTTTATTTTTAGAGAAAGAGGAAGGAAGAGAAATAGAGACATAGAAACATGGATGAGATAGAAACATATCAATCAGCTGCCTCCTGCACTCCCCCTACTGGGGATGGATCCCACAACCCTAACATATGCCCTGACTGGGAATCAAACCCCCAGTAACAAACTGGTAACCTCTTGGTTCAAGGGTCACCGATCAACCACTGAGCTAAACCAGTTGGACTCTTAATATTTTTTGGATTCCTTTTTCTTTTTGCTCTTCTGATTGGGTGTTTTTTGCTTCCTCATATTCCAAATCATTGATTTGATTCTTGGAATTCTCTACAGTTGAATCCCTGTAAATTATTATTTCAGTTAGTGTATGCTTAATTTCTGACTGATCCTTTTTCATGTCTTTGACATTCTCACTAATATTTTTAAATGTCTCACTAGTCCCTTGAAGCTCTCATTAATCCTTGAGTAACCTCATAACCATGGTTTTGGATTCTGTATCCCGTAGTTTGCTTGCTTTCATTTCTTTCATTTGTAACATATTTCTTTGTTTCTGCATTTTGGCTGCTTCTCTGCTTTCTATATATTAGTGTTGCTCTGTCTCCTGGCCTTGTGTAGTAGGTGTCCTGTAGGGCCCAGTGGCTCAGCCTCTCCAGTCACCTGAGCTGGGCACTCTAGGTGCACCCCTGTCTGGTCTGTGTGCAGTCTTGTAGTTAACCCTTAATTGCTGTTGGCATCACTGGGAGGAATTGACCTCAAGGCCAATTGGCTGTGAGGACCAGCTGTGACTACAGTGGAAGAGCATCTGTGCAGAAGACCCCCTATGGAGCAAGACTTGCTTCAGTGGTTTTTTGTTTGGTGCTGAGTTTGCCCCTTGAGTGTGGGCATGTGGGTGTGTAGAGTTGTAATCCTGTGTGATCTAAAGCTGTCAAAGGGTGCACTGGCTCTGGGGCCACCCGGCAGGAGCATCAGAGAGATCTTAAGATGGCTGCTACTTGTATTGGGCTTGTGAAGTGCCCAGGCGAGACCTAGCTGTGAAGCAAAGCATGCTAGTGCTGGGTTTTGGGCCTTTTATTGATAGGTTTGGGGCACGCTGATGTTTGAGAAAATTTAGCAAAGTCTGAAGCCCGAACTAGCACAGGCCATTCATACAGAAAAGCTGCTACAAACAGCTTGGGTGGGACTGCAAATTGGATAGGGCAGGGTCTCAGGGAATCACCAGGGTGGAGCAAACTGTGCTCCAGGCTGATGGAGACTCAGATATGGTGTCAGCTCTGCAAAGGTGAAGTCCCAGCATTGGAACAGGGACCCCTGTCTGGAAAAAAGCCGCTCCCGAGTTCCTAACCCAATGCCAGACAATGCAGTACCTCCCCATATGTCCTTGGGTCCCCTGAAGCTGCCAGACACTGGAGTTCTGAGGGATTGAGTCCGAGTAAGTTTGTGCGCTGGCCCTTTAAGAGGAACACCTAGGTCTCAAGCAGCTTCTGTATCATTCAGCTACAATTTCCATTGGTTTTTAGAGGGACTTCTCTTCCCAGCTCTGGAACCCTGGGCTGGGGGTCTGGTGTGGGGCTGGGACCCCTTGCTTCTCACTGGGGTTGCGGGGAGGAGGGTTCTGTAGCTGAGAGATCCCTCCCGATTAAAAAAACAACACTTGGGTGTCAGACCAGCCCATTCAGTGCCTCCACCCCTCCTACCAGTCTCATGCTTTCTTCTTTACTTCTCTAGTTGTAGAACTTCCATTCAGCTTGCTTTCAGCCAGTTCTTAATGATGGTTATATTTTAGTTGTAATTTTGATGTGGTTGTAGGAGGTGGAGAGTAGAGGCATTTACCTACACCACCATTTTGGTTCTCCCCCCAATTCTTTAGAATAGCAACATGTTATTATGAAGTGTTTAAAATTTTTTTGTTAATATAACTGATCTCATCAGAAAAAAGTGTTGGGACGCTGCCAAGCTCATGGTGATGGATACAGATTTTTCAAAAACTCTAATTTTCATTTGAAAGGGAATTTTAGTATTGGCAACAAATATTGTCAGTTTTTTTCCCTAAGTGACAGGCTTATTCATTTTAGAAAATGTCTGTTGAATAACCATACTCTGTCATTCAAGTAAAACTTGTGTTCTGTAAAAAGTGGCTGGTTCTGCACATCTTGAATAGTAGCATGAAAAAACCATCACCCTTCAGCATGTTATAGAACCAGTACTCCTTTTCATCATATTTGCTATTAAAAAGATGTATACTCAAGGGTAGAGTTGTAACAAAACTAACTTTTAGTGCTTAATCAGGACATTGTTAACTGAAACTGACTTATTTCCCCCTTTTTTCTTTGTGAGTATAGCAGTGAAGGTACAATAATGACTAATTTGTTTGGTGCTACTGTTCTTATTTGTGCTCAGGTGTCTGCAGTTTTACCCATCATTTCTTTTGCACAATCAGTGCAAGTGTCAGTATAAATAGATAAATACATAAATAAATAAATTAATTAATTAATTAATTTTGCCTAGGCCAGTGTGTCTTGGTTGGTTGGATCGTTGTCCTGTACACTGGAAGGTGTCGGGGCACATACCCAGATTTTGGGTTTGATTCCTGGTGCATGAAGGGAACAACCAATGAATGTTTCTCACATTGATGTTTCTTTCTCTCCCTCTCTCTAAAAAAGTCAATAAAAATAGTATTTAGTGCCCTGACTGATTTGGCTCAGTGGATAGAGCTTCGGCCTGCGGACTCAAGGGTCTCAGGTTCAATTCCGGTCAAGGGCATGTACCTTGGTTGCGGGCACATACCCAGTAGGGAGTGTGCAGGAGGCAGCTGATCGATGTTTCTCATTGATGTTTCTAACTCTCTGTCTCCATTCCTCTCTGTAAAAAATCAATAAAATATATATAAAAAAATAGTATTTAGTATTGTTAAGAAAATAGTTTTGATTTCATGGACCTCCTTAAAAGGTTCTCTGGGACCCCAGATTTTTAGAATTGCTCCCCTCATCCCTTTGGAGACAGTCTGTTCATTTATTCGAAACATCATAGTATAATAGTAAATGTTAAAACATACAGATGTGACAAAATCTACTTGGTGGTATGTGTGGGGCAGTGGTGGTTACTATTACACTCAAACTTAGGAAGCAAGATAAAGACGGTCTAATCTTTAGTATTGTACTTTTTCTTTCAAAATATTTCTTTGATGGGTTTCAACTGAGAAAATTTATGATTTAAGGTTAACAATAGAGTTTTATATGGCATATATTCAGGTCATTTTAATCTTTTTAGATATCTTCAGTTATTGTAGATTTGTGTTATTAAAAAGGTCTCCTAATTGAGTTTTTAAATCCATGTCTTAAAATCATTTTACTATGGCTGAGATATCACATCAGGTCAGCCATAGTAAGACAGGACTTTTTAAGTGACAATTAAGTGGATCAGGGCTTTATGCTGAAGGTTTTGGTTTTGTTTGGTTAGGTTCTTCAGTTGCTTTTAAATGTTTTTGGATAGCCAGAAGTCACTATAATTCTCATTTCACCTTGTCAGTTTTATTTTCAGAGTCTGTGATTCAATTGAGTTTTGATCTATTTATGGTGCTGTCAGGTTCTCTCCAACCAGCTAACTAGACACTTAGTCCTCATAGTAAACCATAACAAAATTTAAAACTAAGATGAAGGTTTCCAATATAGAAACAAAATATCAACATACCTATCTTTGGACTTCTTTATTATCTAATATAGCAAATATTGAAATGTCAAGTTGCATATTTGAGGTTTATTTTGGAAATAATATCTCTTTTTGAAGGAAAAACAGAATCTAAGTAGCAAATGCTTCCAAGTTTCTTTACATTTAGCTTATTAATATAAGTACAGTTTATGTCCAAGAGTCAGTTTCTTAATGCGAAAAGTAGATGAGAGTATTTGTTTTTGCCCATTGTCTTAGTGATTTATGTATGTTTTATTGTGGCCTAGAAGTATAACTATAGCTACTAATATAGGGTAAGATGCTTTTCAGGCAGCACCACTACCAATTCCCACTTCTTGCTGGGTTGTTGTTTTTGTT